GCCGAGGCAGCTTCACTCACATGGACTCAATTCTCGGATATGGTCTTGAGGGAGTATGTTCCCCAAAGTCTTAGATATGCATGGTGCACCGAGTTTGAGCAGTTGCGCCAGGGTTTTATGACTGTGCCAGAGTATGCGGTTCACTTTAATGATTTGGCTAGGCATGCACCATCCTTGGTTGCTACGATTCGAGAGAGGGTCCGTCGATTTATCGAGGGGCTTAACCCCAGTATCAGACTTAGCATGGCCTAGGAGTTGGAGATGGATATTGCATACCAGCAGGTTGTGGGGACTGCTAGGAGATTAGAAGGTATGCTGACTCGTGAGAGAGAGGAGAGAGAGGCCAAGAGGTATCGAGAGTCTGGCACTTATAGTGGTACTCGTGCCCCAGCGGCAGCTCGTCATGGTAGGGGCTATGTGTGTCGCCCTGTTCATTCAGCACTTCCAGCCGCCAACGGTATTCCGGCCCCTCCTAGGCCCCGGGATCCTTATTATGCACCGCCAGTATCTAGTGCACCTCCTGCACTGGGTGCTTTCAGCTGTTAGTCCAGTCGACCTGGCCCGAGCCAGCCACAGAAGCCACGCCCTCTGAGATCTTGGCGACACTCGCCATATGGTGAGGGATTGCCCTAGACTTAGGAGGGGTGCACCACCACAGAATACTCAGGCACCGCGTGCTCCACCGGGTCCCCAGGCTATGATTACAGCACCAGCTACTACTCCACCTGCTCAGCCAGCTCGATGTGGAGGTCGGGCAGGTAAAGGTCGCCCTAGAGGGGGAGGCCATGCCAGATATTATGCTCTTCCTGCTCGTACGGAGGCAGTTGCATCCGACTCTATCATTACAGGTATTGTTCCGGTCTCTCATGTGGATGCACCAGTCTTATTTGATTCAGGCTCCACTTATTCCTATGTGTCCTCTTATTTTGCTCCATATTTGGGAGTATCTCGTGATTCTTTGAGTTCTCCTACTTATGTATCTACACATGCAGGAGATTCCATTGTTGTTGATCGTGTGTATTGGTCGTGTTTGGTTGTTCTTAGTGGTTTTGAGACCAAAGCCGATTTATTATTGCTCAGTATGGTAGATTTTGATATTATTTTGGGCATGGACTGGTTGTCACCCCATTATGCTATTCTTGATTGTCACACCAAGACTATAACGCCGGCTATGCCAGGATTACCACGGTTAGAGAGGAGAGGTACCTTAGATTACCCTCATAGCAGAGTTATTTCATTTCTAAAGTCTCAGCGAATGGTTGAGAAGGGGTGTGACCCGTATCTAGCTTAATTAAAAGATGTTAGTATTGATACCCCTACAGTTGAGTCAGTTCCAGTAGTGAGGGATTATCAAGATGTATTTCCAGCCGATCTTCTGGGCATGCCGACCGACAGGGATATTGACTTCGGTATTGATTTGTTGCCGGGAACTCAGCCCATATTCCTCCATATCGTATGGCTCCTCCTGAGTTGAAGGAGCAGTTATAGGAGTTGCTTGATAAGGGCCTCATTCGGTCCAGTGTGTCCCCTTGGGGTGCTCCGGTCTTGTTTATGATGAAGAAGGATGGTTCTATGTGTATGTGCATCGATTATCGCCAGTTGAACAAAGTTACAGTGAAGAACAAGTATCCATTGCCTCGTATTGATGACCTATTTGATCAGTTACAGGGTGCCAGAGTGTTTTCCAAGATTGTCTTGCGTTCGGGCTATTATCAGTTGAAGATTCGGGAGCCAGATATCCCGAAGACTACTTTCAGGACTCAGTATGGTCAGTACAAGTTCCTTGTGATGTCATTTGGGCTGACCAACGCCCCGGCAACATTCATGCACTTGATGTACAGTGTGTTCCGACCCTATCTTGACGCATTCGTCATTGTATTCATTGACGACATTCTAGTGTTCTCTCGGAGTCGGGAGGATCATGAGCAGCACCTGAGGATTGTGCTCTATATCTTGAGAGAAAAGAAGTTATATGAAGTGGCATTTCATGTAGTGTCGAGTGATGGGATCAAGGTGGATCCGAAGAAGGTTGACGTAGTGCAGAGTTGGCCCTGACCGTCCTCGGCTATGGAGATCCGGAGTTTTCTTGGTTTGTCGGGGTATTACCGTCGATTTGTAGAGGGTTTCTCATCTATCGCAGCACCTATGACCAGGATGACCCAGAAGGGTGCTCCGTTCAGGTGGATAGAGGAGTGTGAGGAGAGCTTTCAAAAGCTCAAGACAGCTTTGACTACAGCCCAAGTGTTTGTATTACCTACTGGTTTGGGTTACTATACGGTGTATTGTGATGTGTCGCGCATTCATCTCGGCGCGGTGTTGATACAGGACGGTAGGGTGATTGCCTACGCGTCTAGACAACTGAAGGTGCATGAAAAGAACTATCCTGTCCACGACCTTGAGTTAGCAGCTATTGTTCATGCCTTGAAGATCTGGCGGCACTATTTGTATGTTGTCCCTTGTGAGATCTACACCGATTACCAGAGTTTGCAGCACTTGTTCAAACAGAAGGATCTTAACTTGCGACAACGGAGGTGGTTGGAGCTGCTTAAGGATTATGATATCACCATTTTGTACCATCCCGGGAAGGCCAATGTGGTGGGCGATACCTTGAGTCGCAGGGCGGAGAGTTTGGGGAGCTTAGCATATCTACCAGCAGCAGAGAGGACATTGGCATTAGATGTTCAGGCATTGTGTGGTCTCTCAGTCTTCTCTTTATAATCGTATCAGGGAGCGTCAGTATAATAACCCCCATCTGTTTGTCCTTAAGGACACGGTTCATCACAATGATGCTAAAGAGGCCACTATTGGAGATGATGGTGCTTTGTGGATGCAGGACAGGTTATGTGTGCCCAATGTAGATGGTTTATGTGAGTTGATTCTCCAGGAGGCTCACAGTTCGCGGTACTACATTCACCCGGGTGCCGCGAAGATGTATCAGGACTTGAAGCAGCATTATTGGTGGAGGAGAATGAAGAAGGACATAGTAGAGTATGTAGCTCAGTGCCTGAATTTCTAGCAGATGAAGTATGAGCATCAGCGGCTAGGTGGATTGCTTCATAAGTTAGAGATTCTGGAGTGGAAATGGGAGCGGATCACTATGGATTTCGTTGTTGGGCTTCCACGGACTCAGAGGAAGTTTGATGCAGTTTGGGTGATTGTGGATAGGTTGACTAAGTTAGCTCATTTCATTCCAGTGATGACTACTTACTCTTCCGAGCAGCTGGCTCGAGTTTATATCCGCGAGATTGTCAGACTTCATGGTGTGCCGGTATCTATCATCTCTGACCGGGGTACGCAGTTCATATCACGTTTCTGGAGAGCCGTACAACATGAGTTAGGTACTCGGGTTGAGTTGAGCACATTATTTCACCCTTAGATGGACGGGCAGTCCGAGAGCACTATTCAGATATTGGAGGATATGCTTCGTGCGTGTGTGATGGTTTGGGGGTTCTTTGGATCAGTTCTTGCCACTTGCGTAGTTCGCCTACAACAACAATTAACAATCGAGCATTCAGATGGCCCCATATGAGGCTTTGTATGGTAGACGGTGTCGGTCTTCAGTGGGTTGGATTGAGCCGGGCGAGGCTAGGCTATTGGGTACAGACTTGGTTCAGGATGCTTTGGAGAAGGTTAAGGTGATTCAGGATCGACTTCGTACAGCCCAGTCCAGACAGAAGAGTTATGCGAATCGGAAGGTTTGCGATGTTGCATTCATGGTCAGGGAGTGGGTCCTGCTCCGGGTGTCACCCATGAAGGGTGTTATGAGGTTCGGGAAGAAGGGCAAGCTGAGCCCAAGGTTTATTGGCCCGTTCGAGGTGTTGCGGCGAGTTGGGGAGGTTGCTTATGAGCTTGCCTTGCCTCCCAGCCTAGCAGGAGATCATCCAGTGTTTCACATTTCTATGCTCCAGAAGTATCACGACAATCCATCTCATGTGTTGGATTTCAGCTCACTCCAGTTGGACAAGGATTTATCTTATGTTGAGGAGCCAATTGGACAAAGAACTTTAAATTACAAAACCGAGGGTTTTATCCCATTTTCATTTTTGGGACCTGGAGAGCTCGGATTTAGGTGAAAATTCAAGGGATTTTCAGAAAAACAATCGGGTAATGATTCTTGACTCGTTTTTGGGTATATTCCACTAATCTATCGTTAATTTCACCATTTAATTGAGGTTTTGGGTTGAGAAATTTGGGGGAAAAGTTGGAAGGTTCTTCAACCAAATTCTGAGGTTTTGATTGAGATTTTGGTATTGGATTTGAGTAATTTTGGTATGGGTAAACTCTTAGTAGAATGAGTGTTCATATTTTGTGACTTTTACTCGATTCCGATACGTGGGCCCGGGTCGACTTTTTGGGGCGATTTTCTAATTTCTTGTTAAAGTCTTGATTTCATTCATTAGATTGGTTTCGTATAGTTATATTTATAGTATGTACTTACTTTTGGCTATATTTGGGCCAGTAGGAGTCGAAAAGCCGAGGAAAGGGCACACTACATAAAAAAACAGTGTTTAGAGACGGCCGTATTCCGTCGCTAAACCACTATTTTCCGTCGCTACAGTCGTTTAGCGACGGATTCAAGTTGGTCTCTAAAATTTACTCATAGCGACGAAAAATACCAAACCATCGCAGAATTAGCGACGGATGCGCGACGGAATATATCTGTAGCAAAATTTAGTGATGGAAATAATCGTCGCTATATTGGTAGTTTCTGTCGCTATTTTGACAAGTTTTGTCGCTACAATTTATAACAAAATTCGTCGTTTATTCTTAGTAGCGAAGAAATTGTCCGTCGCTAGTCGTGTTATAGCTAATTCTCCTTGCTTTTTGCAAAAAACCTTTTGTCGCCGATTCGTTGCAAGATTTAATTTTACGCGATAATTTTAGCTACGGAAAGTATCTGTCGCTAATTTAATTTTAATATATTTCTAATTTTTTAAAATGCTTCTTATTTAATATTTTAAATGTACCCTGCTCAAGCATATTACATAAAAGCTATTAAATACATTTAATGAAAAGTCACTGATATTAATATAAACTAATAATACATTCAACAAGGTCCAAAATATATAGCATAATGCATATAACGGTATCATTAAGTACAAAAATTCCACAAGGACCAACAATAAAGACCGAATAAATAGGCTAACTATGCGAGGGTGGAGAGTTACGGTCATCATCAGAACCCAATGCATGAACCTCATCGTTAGCAGCAGTAAAAGATTTAGGGACTGTAGGTGCCACTTCTAATGGATAGTTGGTAAGATCAGTATTTGGCTGATGCGAGGGTAAGGAAACTAATTCGCGTACCCGCTCAATGATTACAGGAACTATATGATTTGTCAGTGCAGGAATCAATCGCATCACTAACTCATCCAGATTCTCTGTGATTAAGCATTTGGAGGTGTTGCTGATGATGTAGCATCAGATCCAAAAGAGTCATGAAGATTCGGCCCGTAGTAGCATTTTGCTTGAGATCCAAGACCATATACTCTTCTTTTCTTTTCTCCTCCCGCGGCTTAATAATATGTTTTACACTGTTCAATATCAGATTGAGTCTGTGTTTGTTATTGTAATATCTCCTGATATTTTTCCTATAGAAGAGTTAATAAATAGTGAAGTAGAAAGACTAAAGAATATTGAGCGTTCAATTTACAAAATGAAAAAATATATGAAAATAAAACCAATAAAATTATTTAAAAAGTTATCTTACATGTACGATTCGGGATCTCTCAGCAACAAAAGATTTTCCATCATTACCACGTGTATGGACGTGCAAATGCAACTCACTTGGTGTTGGATCTCGACCCTTTTTAACACCTATAAAAAAGTTAATCAATTAAGAAGATTGGCAACGAACATAGCGGCAGAAGCATTGGCATAACTGGAGGCATTACGTTATTGTTCTCAACTTAGTTTTAATAGACTTTGGATAGAAACTGACGCATTCTTGCTAAAAAGCATAACTGATGGAACATGGAATTCTCCGTGGAACCAAACAACTCCCGTGTGGTTTGATTCATCAAAGAAGTTCAGTAAAAAAACACAAAGTTACAGAGTAACCATGTAAAAAAAAAAAAAAAAAAGTTCAGTAACAAAAAAGCTTTGCTTCATCAAACTTTTCTACCATAGTTGATGGCGACACTATCTAATATGCTTCTACCACATGCTCTCAGGACCTTCATAACAATAGCTACAAGGAATGCCACGAGTAAGATGTGTTCTTATTGAAGTGTCTTGACTTCAATTATCCTTGCCAAATGTCTACCGCCAAAACTGAATATCATCTTTTCAACTGGAATTATTGCCTAAAATACAACAACCTGTCTGTCTGCCTAGTTTAAGAATTACATTCTACCCTCCAACTAGCTCCAACAAGATAAAAGAATTGATATGTACAATAAAGAACCTACGATCTCTTGTGTACAAATTCGGAAAAATGTCTCATAATGCAGGTTTTGCTACCACGAAAGGTAAAAGTATATGATATATAGATATTAGACACCAGAAGGATTAATATAAAAGTGTCATATGGATGCAGAAAACCATGTCCTGAAGTGCCATTTTACTGCTTCATAGATGGAAAACCAAACAAGCTAAGTCAATGAAAAAAGAGTACAGCAAAAGGACAGTCTCCAGAATAGCCTAGGAATGTAATTCAGTTCAATTCTCAATCTGGTAGAACAACAGAAGCTTCACATTTTATTACTTAATCTCTTACTGAGCTAACTTTTAAGTATTACTAACTGGACTCAAACTGACTAGAAAACTGAATTATCTCCACCAATATGTCACCGTAGCGAACCTCTTATGCTACCCCACATATCACCATACTTCTATAATAGTTTAGTTCAATACCATAGAAGCAATAGGCTGCCAGCAAAACCATAGAAGCAATATTTTCCAATAGCATAGAAGCAACACCATATAAGCTCTTACACACTAAAAAGCAATGCTTTCCAATAGCATAGAAGCAACACCATAGACTAGATATTTTACAGACTAAATACATACCCATATATCTTACAGGCCATAGAAGCAATAGGCTGCCAGCAAAATCATAGAAGCAATAGAAGCAATGCTTTCCAATAGCATAGAAGCAACACCATAGAAGCTCTTACAGACTAAAAAGCAATGCTTTCCAATAACATAGACCCAACACCAAAGACTAGATATTTTACAGACTAAATACATACCCAAATATCTTACAGACCATAGAAGCAATAGGCTGCCAGCAAAACCATAGAAGCAATGCTTTCCAATAGCATAGAAGCAACACCATAGAAGCTCTTACAGACTAAAAAGCAATGCTTTCCAATAGCATAGAAGCAACACCATAGACTAGATATTTTACAGACTAAATACATACCCAAATATCTTACAGACTAAAAAGCAGCAAGTTCAAAACTAATTCAACAGGCAACAAGGTCAATATATTTTTACACACTCACTTTACAAGGTCAATATTCAAACTCAAATCAGCCAACTTCAATCAATTTCACAACAACCATCAACAAGGAATAAGCTTGGACACTCAAAACAGTGTAAGAACTGAATCGGATATTTTATATACACTTACAAGTCTCTTGCGATGCTCCCTAACACTGCAGAGCCACCTGTGTGAGTCCCAGTGGCAACTCCGCTCCCAGCACAACGATTTTTTGCATTTATTTCTGACTTTTCAACATACTTAGGATCTTTCTAAAGTCTTTCCAAAGTTGCTGATTCTTCTCTATTGTATATGCAGCTTTGGGGTAGCTTCCATCAATAGGATTCTTTGCCAATTGCGGTCGATCGCAATAGTTTACCATATCTTCACGTGCCTTTGGATTGTTTTTTGTTTTGCCATCAACATTAAGAACTGTGTTAAATACATTATCAAAGACATTCTTCTCAATATGCATGACATCGAGATTTTGTCGGATCATGTTAGAGCTACAATAAGGCAAATCCTAAAAGTTGCTTCTCTTTTTCCATCCACAACACCTAGAAATTCTCCCATTAACTTCTTCTGCATCTAGCTCAGTTACTTTCCTCAGTCCCAACTCACAAATTTGGTTCAAGACTTCCTCTCCTATTCTAAGGGGTGGTGGTAGCCTTCTGACAGTCAGACCTTTACGAAAGTTCTTACGATCTCTCCTAAACGAATGATTTTGGTCAAGAAACATTCTATAACTGTCAAACCAAGTTGCTTTTCCACCATGATGTAATCTAAAGGATTGTGCTTCCTCCATACAATAAGTACATGCTAAGATACCTGCAGTACTCCATCCAGATAACATAAAAATATGCTAAAAAGTCATTGATTGTCCATATCAAAGCGGCCCTTTATTGAAAATTTTGTTTTTTTGAGATGTCAAATGTTTCTACACCCGTCTCCCACAACAAGGTCAATTCCTTTATTAAAGGTTGTAGATAAACATCAATTTTTTGTTTAGGGTTGTTTCGCCCTGGAACAATGACAGTTAAGAACATGTACGCCTCTTTCATACACATCCCCGGAGGCAAATTGTATGGAGTGACAATCACTGGCCATGAAGAGTACTTCATCCCTGAATGACCAAAGGGCTGAAAACCCTCAGTACATAATTCCAACCTCACATTTCTTGGTTCAACAGCAAAAAAGGGATGAGTTTCGTTGAAGTGCTTCCAAACCTTAGAGTCTGATGGATGATGCATTACGCCCTCCTCTTGTATGTGCTCATGATGCCATCTCATATCAGCGGCTGTAGCATGAGATGCATATAATCTCCGCAATCTAGGAATCAAAAGAAAATAACATATTTTTTTGTAAGGTATTAATTTTCTCTTACGAAAACCGACACGACGTTTGTACCTCTGGTGGCCACAAAACTTGCAAGATGTGAGGTCCTCATCTTCACCCCAATACAACATACATCCAGAATTACAACAATCAATCTTTTCAACTTGCAAACCCAAGCTACGCACTAGCTTCTTGGTCTCATAATAGTTATCAAGCATTGTGTTATCTTATGGTAAAGCCTCTTTCAACAATTGCATCATGTGGTTATAACCTCTTTGTGATAAAGTATTCTCCATTTTAATATTTAGCATCCTGAAAACTACTGCGAGTTGAGAGAGGGATGAACCAGGGTATAATTTTGCATCGGCGGCCTGTAGCAAATCATAAAACCTTTGGCACTCAAGATTTGGCTCCTCCTCCATTGAAGGATTAGGCTCCTCCTCCATTGAAGGTTCATAAGAATGAGACGACTCATATTCACTATTATTATAAGACTGCCAGCACAAACCATGGCCAGAATTGGGTCCAGCTGCATCCAATACCATTTGTCGATATGGATTCTCGTATCCCTATTCAGGTTGAGCGCCACCATGCAAATCACCACTAGAAGACATCTCACCAGCCATATTTTTTCTCCTTGATACTTCCAAAGAAAATAGTTCTCAACAAATCCATACTAATAAAGGTGCAATTTAATAGTTTCAACATACATGTATTTAATGTTGTGACATTTTTTACATGGACATCTAACATTGTCACTACTCATGAGATTGCGCTTAGAATAAGCAAACTGGAGAAACTTGTTCACACCAGTTATGAAACTTGAATTAATTAATACCCCCTCGGCCATCCAACCTTTTGTACATCCAATCATGCTCTAGATTGTCCATTCCTATTTAATATTAAAATAAATAAGACCTTAGAGTTCTTTATTTAATAAGACATCAGAATGCTTTCTAAAATGAATAACAAGTTGACATCAAAATAAGTTGAGAATTACTAACACCCCAATCTTGGAATGCTCAGTTCCTTTATTTGACCAAAATAAGAACCTTAAATAGACAAATGAAATGCTATATATTGAGGATTACATAAGTTGAAAATGATTAGATAACGTAACTAACTAGAGAAAGGGGGGGGGGCATAACTAATGGGAGAAGCTACTATATGCGATTAAAATTGTGTATTTACGACTAACATTCTATGTGATCTATATGCGTTGTTGGCTAAATTAGTCTACTTTCTCTGTTGGCAATGGAAAAATCGTAAGATTTCTGTTGTGAAGTTGTATAATGCATAAAATTGTTCTATTTCGATAATTAACTATTGGCCAAACTTCATCAAGTTGTACAAGAAGGCATAGAATTTACTATCTGATATTGCTATAGGTAACCAATAGCCTGGTAAATTTCTTTATTACATTCTATTTTCAATTTCCACGTCCTAAAATTCAGAGTGTTAGCTGTGGAATCAACATCCATATGACCACCTCTACTCTACACTCTAGCAAACTTCAATGATATTAGACCATGGATGACAAGTGTACATATATTATGTCCTAGAGATTAGCTTAGTGGAACATAAGATGTATACACACCCAGAGATCCAGACATTCGTATGTACTCACATAGAAGAAAATCAGACCCAAGTAATAGGGATTAAAGAGTGAAATCCAAGTTATTGTAAGGTAGACAGAAAATCTGCTTAGTATTCCACGTGAATAATGATTGTAAATCTGCTGATATGTTCAAGGTCAAACTGATCTGCATGCAAGGAAAAGTATTCATGATATAGTCAAACTTCTTTGAAAAATTAAGAGGTTCATAGAACCTCTTAATCAACGATGTTAACTAGGAAGCTTAACATAGCTAACAATTTCATGTAGATCAACAAGATAAAGAAAATAAACTGATACCTTAGGATACATACAATTTTTTTATTAAACCTTATGATACATACAATACCATATGCTAGCCTGTTTATACAAAAAAATATAGGCTCCAATAATTGTTATGAAAAAAGTACCCTCCAGTTTCAAGGCTCCTTACCCTAAAAAATGGTGTTGCCCATCTCATCAAGATTCACTAAAATAAGAATGAAGTTGCAATATATATATAACAACTTTTGTACTTTTAATATGATCCTTTTTTCCAAATTTGTAAGCAGATAAAGTATAAAAAAATCTGTATGAACATAATGGAATAATACTAAATATTCTTAAACTTAGTTCCTATTTTTCATAAACTGTGTCTCTTATCTTCTTAAGATGTCCTGAAATCTCTATGTGACATCAGATATACTTTGACACTGTAAATTACTGCTTTGGATCAATACATTAAGTTCAAACCAGCCGTGTTATTTACAAATAAGCCACCAAACACTAATTATCAACTAAAAATAATATTTATATGTCCAGCGATGGAAGGAAAGCTAAAGGCTTTTACATGTTAGATTAAAGCAGTAGCAGACACTCGTCTACCATAAAGTAGTAGCAGACATTTGTTAGATTAAATTTGTTAAAAGTTGAAAGCAGAGCCAAATCAAAAACAAAAGACAGCTTTTAAAACGACTAATCACTACAATTGACAAACAAACTAAGACCGATGACGAATAAAAAGGTTCAAAATTTAAAACAGGAAAAAGGCCAAATTATTTGAGGTAAAAATAGAAAAATGGTCGGAACAAGAAATTGGAAATCAACAAGTAAAATAGAGCATCTCCCAGAAACCTTTACAACTCGTGGTCTTAAAAGTTCTAAAATAGAATTGGAAATAGAGTTTCTAAATATTAAAAGTTCTTTTTTTTCCAATAGAAAAACTAGAAATATCCAGAAAAACAGGACCAAATCATCTTAATTGAAAGCTTCTTGTTGTGGCTTTCTCCAGCACCACCTGAACTAATTTCAAAGATAACCTTATTAAAAGTTCTACTACAGAAAATTGAACCTCGCACTACAGATGTACTTCTCCATCATATCATTTATTCTCTTTACATTCTATTTTTTCTGACTTCAGTTTTAGAAAATTTATAATGATTCTCTCCCAGACTACAAGACAGGAATGAAATCACAAAGAAGTTTACCCTTTCGCATGAGAATCTTGCGGAGAAGCAACACACGACTTCAAATTTCACAGTTATGCAGCAAAAATCTTCCAATTTCGAAAGTTTTCTTCTATTTTTAAGACATTAACCCTAGATTCACGCCAAATTTTTTGTATTTGAAGGAAAAAATTTACATTGTTGAAGAGGAGTGAAGGAGTCTAATAGAGAGGAGAGAAAGTGGGCATGTTGCCCTAATTGTTCGAATGTCTATTGACTAAGGTAATTTTATCTTTAGACGGAGATTTTAGCGACGGAATTAGCGACGGATAGAATTTCTGTCGCTAATAATAACTAATGAAATTTTATTTTAATGGAACTAGATTTTAGCAACGTAAATAGCGACGGACCTAATTTCTATCGCTAATTATATCTAATGAAGCTTTATTTTAAGGAAACTAGCGACGGAAAATTTTGTCGCAATCAACTTTGGAATGTCTTGATAAATAAAATGAATGCAGCGATAGATTTTTTAACGTTAAATCCGTCGCTAGATTTTAATAGTTTTTGTCGCCCCACTTTCGTCGCTAATTTTGTAGGTAAAATAAAGGCGCTAATATTTAGAGCCAATTTTAGCAGCGAATATTAGTTTTTGTCGCTATTCCGTCGCTATATTTGATACGGATTCTTTTTGTAGCTTATTTGGCGACAAACTACAAAATTCATCGCTAATCCGTCGTTATTTAGCTACGGAGTATCTCTTGTCGCTAAATTTTGTTGCTAAACGCAGTTTTTTTGTAGTGGCGTTCTTATTGACTGATTGAGCTTGGTTCGAGCTAAGGGGATTGCCTAACCTTGTATGGGTGAAATCTCCTTAACATTTGATGCTATTATGACAGTTCTGTAATATGTGAGTACCGTGTACGCGAGGTGACGATTGCGTACACGGGCTAATTATTGAAAATCCAGTTTTTACTTAACAGTAACTGGTTATATCTTAAATGAGTCATCCCAGCATGTGTAGTTATCCTGTTTAGCCTAATATCACATGTCTACGTGTCTTAAATGCTTATTTGAAATCTGTGCAGCATGCTTAGTTGAATTCATGTTTTTCCTTGATTTGTAATAGTCTTAAACTGTAAGATTCTTGCTGTTCATTGTTGTTTCCATCGGTTTCGAGCTGTGTGTTTACTTTTGGGACTACGAGGCATTACCTCGGGAGATCCCCATTGCGTATTGACTTTTGGGACTACGAGGCGATACCTCGGGAGATCCTCGTTGCATATTTACTTTTGGGACTATGAGGCGGTACCTCGGGAGATCCCCTACTGCATATTTACTTTTGGGACTACGAGGCGGTACCTCGGGAGATCCCCTATCGAGTATTTACTTTTGGGACTACGAGGCGGTACCTCGGGAGTGCCCCTGTTGTTTATCTTTATGTGTTGTGTTGTTATCTTCCTGTATTGGTCGTTGTTAAATTTTCAGTCTTTCATTATATTGCTATATCTTCTGCTTTATTATTATATCCCAGTAGGGCCCTGACCTAACCTCGTCACTACTCTACCGAGGTTAGGCTTGGCACTTACTGGGTACCGTTGCGATGTACTCATGCTACTCTTCTGCTTTGTGTGTAGACCCATGTACCTCCTACCAGCCCCACTATTAGTTGGGAGTACTTGCTGCTGCTTCGGATAGTTCAAGGTATATCTGCCAGCATCCGCAGACCTCGGAGTCTCTCCCTATCCCTTTATGTTGTTTCTTCTTTATTTTCCTAGATACGAATGAATAAGACACTTAGAACCATTCCTTAGAGCTTGTGACTTGTGACTACCGGGCCTTTGGGAATTATTTATACTCAAAATTATTGGTTTTACTTGTATATGTCGAGCGGCAGCTGTCCAGCTTTATCTATATATATACCTGTTGTTGTTAAAGTTTAGTAGTTATTTATGTTGTTATTTCAGTTATTCCGCAACTGTTAGGCTTGCCTAGTCTTAGAGACTAGGTGCCGCCACGACGTCTTACGGAGGGAGATTTGGGTCGTGACACCGGTTTATCTATATTTTCCTATTTACAGAAAGTAACTAAAGGCTTTTACAAAATATTTACAAATATTAGAACATGCACAGCGGAAGCAAGCATAAACACAGGTATCACAAACATGTAAACTAGACAATTATTTAATTGTAGAGATTAGAAGCACTAACCTCTCGAAACTGTTGCAATAATCGTTCACCGGGCAAGAATCCAGGACTGCAGTCTTCTGCTATTCTTCCAGTAAAGCCTTGGAAGAAAATATTTTTGTGGGCAAATATTACTACTCTGAAGAGTAAGTTATTAGGTGAAACTAGTCTTGTATTTGTAGTAGCCGAAATTGAGCAAAAAACCGGCCCAAAAATCGTGTAGGATTCTACTAGGGTAGTAGAATCCTACCCCAACTGAAATAGAGAACTTTTCTACCAAGTAACTTTCTACCCAAGTCTCAAGGTTTTACTAGGTATAACAGGGACCACAGAAATAATAAGAGGCTACCAATTATAGTATTAATTCGAAATTCGGATGAATTAAATCCTACTATAATTAATCACAGTTTAATCCACCAAAAACTCGCAATTGAACTCCTCAAGATGAATTTCGGAATTCACCAACACTTATTTTAACTCCCCCTGTTAAAATTACAAATACCAGTTAATTAAACTAAATCACTGCTAATATAATTTAACCAATAATTAAATATTTTATAATTCCGCTTGAACTATTTCATGTGACAGATACAAAATCACCGGCCGTGTTTCTACATAAAAACTTATAAGCTTACATAAAGGGGTATTATCAAACTCAAGGTCGAGTCATGGATTCTGTCAACTAATTATTATTTCAAAAATGCCATTTGTTATTGTCCAATCTATTGGCATACACTAAATCTGAATAGAGTTGTACCTTTTGATAAATCAAAACAATAAATATATCACATTGATAATAATAACTATACCAAGATTAGGAGTATAAGCTCATTTAATGAATTGGAGAAATATTTTATATATTCAGTACAAAAACATCTTTTCTCTACTTGATCTGCTCAATGTACACTAAGTATACTAGCACAAGAAGTTTGAGTAAAATCACTCCCATAATATACTTTAATATTGTGCTACAATAATCAAGATATTTTGCCCAACAATATCTTTGATTGTGAATATAATTTATTAATTATGAGAACCGACAATTTAATCTTCTGTGCATGAGTGTAACGACCCGGCCGGTCGTTTCATGAGTTACTGCTCCATTTTCCCCATTTCTGCTTCTTTATGCTTTGTTCATCTGTGTTATATGGTATCGGGTTAGTCGGTTCGAATTCGGGTTGGTTTTGGAAAGGTTTGAGACACTTAGTCTCTTAAGTTGGTCTTTTAGTTGGAAAAGTCAACCGGAAGTTCACTTGCGAGCAAACGATCTCTGAATTTGATTTTTATGATTCGGATAGCTTCGGGAGGTGATTTGGGACTTAGGAGCGTGATCGGAATGAGTTTTGGAGGTCCGGGTAGATTTAGGCTTGAATTGGCAAAATTGCAATTTTGGCGTTTTCTGGTTGGTAGCGGAGTTTTGATATAGGGGTCAGAATGGAATTCCGGAAATTAGAGTAAGTCCGTTGTGTCATTTGGGACGTGTGTGCAAAATTTCAGGTCATTTGATCAAAAGCGGAATTCAGAAGTTTTTGGAGTTCTTAGGCTTGAATCCGTGGTTAATTTGATGTTCCGATGTTGTTTTAGGTGTTTCGAAGATTTGTATAAGTTTGGATGGTGGTATATGACTTGTCCGTATTTTTGGTTGAGGTCCCGGGGGGCCTCGAGGTGATTTCGGATGGTTGACGGGAGGTTTTGAGTTGGAATTTGCAGCTGAAGTGCTGAAACTCCTGTTATAACCGCACCTGCGGATTGGGGACCGCAGGTGCGGGCTCGTAGAAGCGCCCAGTGGGTCGCATATGGGGAAATAGGCATGGGAAGCTGGAACCGCAGATGCGGTTATTCGAGCGTACCTGCGATAGTGCAGGTGCGGTATTATGATCGCAGGTGCGGTCCTAGTGCGGTTAAGTGATTCCCGCAGGTGCGCACCTGGGACCGCAGGTGCGGGATTTTGTACCGCACAAGCGGTTTAGCTGGGGCAGAACATATATATTTGGCCCTTCGCGATTTTCAGCTCTTCTTCACCATTTTCAAATCGATTTTGAAGCTTTTTGGGAGATTTTGAAGAGGGAATTCAAGGGAACTTCGTTGAGGTAGGATTGTTGAACATAAAACTCGTTTCTATAGTGTTATTCATGGATTAGGATTGTAATTTATGGAAATTAGTGGTTGAAATTGAAGAACTAGGGCTTGAAATTTGATTCCTAAAATTAGGGATTTGAGGGTTCATTTGTGGTTGGATTTTGGTAAATTTGGTATGTATGAACTCGTGGGAGGATAAGAATTTCATTGATGTTAATTTTGTCAGATTCCAAGACGTGGGCACGGGGGTCGGGTTTGGCCAATTTTGGGTTTCTTGTTGAAATTTGATTATTTTCGCATGGGCTTCGTTCCCTTAGCATATTCTAATGTTATGATACTGATTTTGGGTAGATTCGATGCGAGTTGAGGTCAATTCGAGAGGCAAAGGCATCGCGGGCTAGAGTTTGGACCGGATTGAGGTAAGTAATGATTGTAAATGTTGTCCTGAGGGTATGAAACCCCGGATTTTACATTGTTGTGCTATTTTGAGGTGACGCACACGCTAGGTGACGAGCGTGAGGTCGTGCACCATTGGGTATGTAAGCACGTGATTTTTGCTCTATACGAAATACTCCTACAAAATCCAAGAAAATAGATTTTTTTTTTCTAATTATTTACCATTTTATAGGATTTTGTAGAATTTTTATCTTGTGCACGTTTAAGTCATAAAAAATACCAAAATATCATGCATGGCATTTAGGTTTTATTTTTACATTTTTAGGACTAATCGGAAGTTACTGGTTTTATAAAAATGGAAAATCACAAAAAAATATTTCATTTTTACACTGTTGCCTTTTATTTTTAGGTTATTAATTTTTCTCTTTTAATTTAGAATTAAATAGCTTTTATGATTTTTATAATTAGTTTAATTTCACATTTTTAGATAATCTAGGATTTTAATTTTAGGATTTTTAACTAAAGAAAAAGAAAAGAAAAGGAAATTAGAAATAAAAGAAAATTGAAGAAGGGGTGTCATTTTCGGAATTGGGCCACCTTT